CCGGTCGGTCCGGGCCGAGACCCGCAGCCGGGCCAAAGACGACATCAAGAAGGTGATGGCGGCCATCGAGAAAGTGCGGAAATGGTGAGGGACTGGAGCTGAGGGTACTCGCGGGGTCGCTGGCCCAAGCCCAAACAGCAGCTAACTGGCGGGCTGCGTGGGAGCCGACCGGCAGGCACTGGGGGGAGGGGGAAGCGGAGAAGGCGGGAGGAAGGTGCCGCTCGTGTTGGCGTGAGGTCAGAGGGCGCGCCGGCTGCGACCAATCAGCGGGTCCCCCGGCTTGCGGACCCGCCCATCTGCCCTCCGGCAGTGCGGTGCCTGGGGATGCTGCTGGCTTCCGGCCACTCTTGGTCCACGGGGCCTGGCTTGCACGCCGGTCCTCGCGCGTCGTCTTCCTCGCGCCCGCCTGTCTCAGGAGCCTTTTGGTTCTTAACTGTCCCAAATAATATCTAACAGTTTTTGAGAGTTTCTCGTTGGGCAGACTGAGCGCTCTACGTATTAAGTCGTCTAAGTTAGGTGAGAACTTCTTGGTAAACCTACCTCCCACGGGACCAAGCGGTAATAGGAATCCCCCTGTCGTTCCTCTAATACCGGCCCGCACGCCGCGAGCTGAGTAGGCATTTTCTCTTGGTGGCCTGGGGGCTGTTAATAGAGGAGTCGGGATCTACTCCTCGTTTGAAAACAGCTCCTATAACATTCATTGTAGGCGTGCGTTGACCTGTTTTGTACCAGGAACTCCAATGCGTTATCACCTTAAGCTTTCACAGGCAAGTAATTGTGCCAACTTCTTGAGTATTTTTCTCTAGCTGATTATTAGTATAATTTTTAAGCCCTCGTAAGTGTTAGCTCTCTCCAGGAAGCCTTTTCCAAGCCCTCCTGCCCTGCATCCTCCACCCCTTTTAGAGTCATCATTACCTGGGACTTTATTTGCATGTTTATTTGTCCATTTGTCCGAAAGACTTAGTCCCCTATCGCTTTATCTCTAAGAGTTTCATGTATAGTTGGACTCATAAATACTAATTAATGATTTTTCCCCTCCAAATTTCATCCTAGGTTTTTTGGTGAAACCCAAGAATAAATGGGCATACCTTTCTCTTCTGGCCACCTCTGTCTCCACTTGTAGCCTAGGGCAGGTGACCGTCTTCTCTGACTTGGAATTCTGTACCAGCCTCCCTATGATCTCCCTTTTTCAGGGCTGACTAATTCCCCAGTCCATTCATCATTTTGCATTTTTCTCAAGTGTGAATCTTCTGGCACTCCCCCTCTTAGCAAATAATGTTTCATTACTGGGAATTGAACCCTGGACATCTTGCATGCTAAGCATGCACTCTAACCGCTGAGCTGTACCCTCCCCCTAAAACTCATTTGTTTTAAAGCATATCTTAAAAGTAACTTACTCTTTCAAGTAAAACCTTAAAGCAGTCTTTTCATGGCTTGGCCTTCACCTCTTTCAGAAGCCAGTATGAGGCTCAGTTCTGTTAGCTGGAGGCATCCTGTCCTGCTCCTGTGATTATTTTTAATTGGAATCGTGTTTCAATCCAGAGTTCCACAGGAGTCATAGGAGTTCTGCCTTCCATTGGGATATCCTGATCTTACTCTTTCAGCCTTCTTCCTTGCCACCTTTGTGTGTTACAATGATTTCTTTACTTATCTTTTCATTCCTATGAGTTCAAAAGGTAGAGATCCTGTCTTATATATCTTTTATCGCCTGCAGGGCCTTGTGTAATAGGCCTTTATAAATATCAATGGAATTGAATTAATTTGGGGGAAATAAAGAAGTGATGCCAGATATATGGTTGAATTTGAAAATATGCTGATACTCTAAAGTGCCATAGTCTGGGAAGAAAAAAGGTTTTGGTGCACTGTACATGAGCAGAGGTGGCAGGTAGAGGATTCTGAGCCAAAGGAATTTGATGGAGAAGTCTTTCTGGAAGGGATGCCCTGGAAGGTAAGGAAGTTTAGAAGACATTTAAAATTGAAGGAATGATCTGCTGAGAAGTAGAAAATCACAAGTTATGAACAAAATATTTTATTATCAGTTCTAAGAAGTGTCTTTATTTTAGGGAGAAAAAGTGGGTGACTGTGGGTGACACGTCCCTTAGGATATTTAAGTGGGTTCCTGTGACGGACAGCAAGGAGGTAAGTGTGGAAGAAAATCAAAACAACCAAAAGGTACCGTCTTTCTTTTTTTCTTTCTTTGTTGCTTCTTAATTATAATGGAATTTATTCCCCAGAATTGAGTTGAAAATACTTCAAGGCACCCTCTGTCATTGGTTCATGCAAAGCCACTTATTTTATTATTTTCTCCCTTTATTCCCTTTCCTTAACCTGTTCCTCTTTTCCAGGGTTTGGCAAACTACAGCCCTGGCCTGCTCTCTATGATTGTCTGTATAGTTTTATTTGAACACAGCTGTGCCCGTTGGTTTCCTTATTGTCTGTGGCTGCGTTGAGTCGTGATGGCAGAGTTGAGTACTTACCATAAGAGCTAATGGCCCTGCAAAGCCTAAAATGTTTATTACCCGGCCCTATCAGAAAACTTTGTGGACTTTTCCTTTTATCCAATTAGCCTCCTTCTGTAGTGTATACCTTTCTAATTCGTCTTCCGTGGGCTTATTGGACACTTCTGCTTTGAAAAATACATAGCATTGTTTCATATTTATATATTTTAAAAGTTTGCATCTATTTATAGATGCACTGTAAATCCTTATTTTCCTTTTGTTTTGGGGACCTCTATATGTTTCTGTAATTGTAAATAAAGTTACTACCTTTGACTCTTGCACTGTATTCTCTTATGTGCAGTGACCACATTTGTCTGTACATTCCCTGGGTGATAAACACTCAGGTTTCTCCAACTCTTCTTTTCCTAATTGTTTTTAAATGAACTGAAGTATAAAACACCTACCGAAAAGTATATAAAATTGGGGAGGGTATAGCTCAGTGGTGGAGTGTGTGCTTAGCATGCACGAGGTCCCGGGTTCAACCCATAGTTCCTCCATTTAAATAAACAAACAAACAAACCTAATTAACTCCCTCCCAAAAAGAAAAAATAATTTTAAAAAAACCCTGCTGGGACAAAAAATAGAGCATGCCGACTCCACCTGAAGCCTCTGTGACTCTTCCCAGCATCTCCCTCCCTCCCCTCTAGAGGATATCACTCTCTTACTTTTGCTTTTCTGATCACTTCTTTAGTAATTTGTAAACATTTTTTAACTTTATATAAACAGTGTCATGAAGTATCTGTTTTTGTGTGTCTTGCTTTTTTTGCCCAGCATGATGTTTATAAAATCATCCATGTTTCTGGAGCTGTTGGTTCCTCTTCATTGCTGTGTGGAGTTTATAGGTCTGTACCATAATTTATCTTTTCGGTTCTCTTGTAGGTGGATATTTGGGTTTTTTCCAGTTTGAGATAATAGGTACAATGTTCCTGTGAACATTCTTGCTCAGTATATGGGTTAATATGTATGTGAGTTTTCTTAGGATATATTCCTAGGAGTGGAATTGCTGAATCTTAGGATAATTTTGACCTATACTAGCTAATACTAAACTGTTTCCTAAAGTCGTTGTACCAGTGTATATTCCCACCAGAAATACGAGAGCTCTCATTGCTCCAAATACTCATCAATAGTTGCTTATTGTTAGACTTAATATGTAAAGATATCTCATTGTGGTTTTAATTTGAAAACTAATTATGTAATTACTAAAGAGATGGAGAATCTTTTCAATATCCTTTTAGGGGTTTAGGAAGTGCCTGTTTAAGTCTTTTTGGCTGTGGTCTTTTTCTTGTGACTTGTAGGGATTCTCTGGGTTCTGGACACATATTCTTTATTGATTATACAATGTCCATTCCTTTTCCCATTCCATGGCTTGTCTTTGCTCTCTACTTATGCTGCCTTGAGGAAAAGAAGTTTTTAATTTAATGTAGACAAAATAATCTTTTTTTTATAATTAGTGCTTTTAAATGTCTTAAATCTTTTCCTTCTTTGAGACCACAAAGATATTCTTCTATATAATCTTATATAAACTTATTATTCTGTTCCCATTTAAAATATGCCTGGAGTTGATTTTTGCGTATTTTGGGGGGTGGGGGAGGTAATTAGGTTTATTTATTTATATTTGGGGTGGGGAGAGGTAATGAGGTTTTATTTATTTATTTATTTATTTAATGGAAGTATTGGGGATTGAACCCAGGTCCTTGTGCATGCTAAGCATACACTCTACCACTAAGCTATACCTTCCCCTCTGATTTTTGTGTATTTTGAAGGTGGGGCCCAATTTCATTTTTTTCAGTGTAAGCATGCATTTGTCCCACCACTTAAGAAGACTGTTCTTTTCCTCCTGCTCTGTAGAACTACCTTTGTCATAATTCAAGTGTCTGCATATGGGTCTATTTGTGACTGTGTGTGCCTCTAGCTTTTTTGGTAGCACAGGTGACTGGTGGACATCCCTTAAGCCATTCTCCTTGAGGACTTATGGGAGGTTTTCTGTGGATTAGACGCCCAGGAGTGAGATTGCTCTGTTATCTGCATAGCTGTTTTTACTACACGCTGCCAGATCTCTCTTCTGAACAGCTGCGTTGTATAGTTAGTACACTTCCCCAGTGCTGGGGGGTTCCCATTGTCCACATCTTCATCGACATTCAATGTTATCTAACTCCTGATTCCTAAGTCCTGCCAGTCTAAGAGATGTAAAGTGGTAGCTCTGTTTATTTGCATCTCTCTGATTACTGATGAGGTTGATCATTTTTGTGTGTTCAGATTTCCTTTTTATCCATTTAGATTTCCTCTTCTCTGATTTCTTATATTTTCCTTATTCTTGTATTGGGTTTCCTGTCTTTACTTTTCTGATTTGCATGGTGCCTTTGATTAGCATTCTAGATACAGAAAACTCTAGTTACTTTTATATTTTATTTTCGGGGTTTTGTTTCAAAACTGTTTTCCATTCCATGGTCACAGAGAACTTCTTCATCTTCTATTAGCTTTTTAGTTTTTGACTTTGACATTTAGAGCTTTAATCCTTGTAGGTTTTTTGTTTTTATTTAAATGGTGAATATATGGATCTAATTTTAATTTTCCTTCATGCAGTGAGCCGTTTCCTGTAATACTGTTCACTGCATAGTCTGTCCTTTCCCACTGGTTTGTGATGTCATCTTGATTGTATGCCATATTCATATCTGTTTTGTTGTTTTTGAGTTCTTTATTTTTTTGTGTTGTTTTATCTGCTCTTAGATAGATTTATTTGCTCTCAGTTTTTAGTGTGTCTTAATGTTAAGTAGGATGGGTTTTCTTTCTTGCTGTAGGTTTTGGAAAGATAGTCTTTACCAAAATGAATAATTCCCTTCTCTCTTTTCTTTTTTTGGGGGGTGGTGGCTTATAAATATTTATAAAAATTGAAAGTTTGTTCTTCTATCCCATGAGCATCCATTCAGCTGCCTCTCAGCTGGTAAGCAGCATTACTGCTGCTGTCATAACTGCCTATGAAATCTTAGGGTAACTGAAGGTCTGCCTTTACTTAAAACTCCTTCCATGCCTTGTAGCAACCCATCTCTTCACACCTTTATACAAAGAGTTTCCAAAATCTGCATCCCAAGCAAGCCATCCACAGATAAAAACATACAACTGGTAGCAAAAAAGTTGGTCCGGGTACATCAGAAACTCAGTCTACCCGTTCAGCTTCCAGCTAATTCTGCTTAGTGCCTGTCTGCCCATGGATACTATGCAAAGCCTGTGCTGTAGGACCTGGGAAGAAAGTTTCACGTGAACAGGTGCAATCTCAGTGTTCTCTCACTATTTTTTTGCCTCAGCCCTTCTCTTTTTACTTTTCTAAGACTTATTAAAAATTATGAATAGATGTTGGGCTTTATCTAGCTGCTTTTCCTCCATTTACTTAAATGTTCATGTGACTTCTCTAAACTATATTAAAATGAAGACTTATATTAATGGAGTTTCTGATGTTGAACCATTCTTTCATTCTTAAGACAAATTCTACTTGGACGTGCCTTTTTTCCCCCATATAATATTACATTCATTTTGCAAATATTTCTTTTAAAACATTTCATCTAGTTCATAAGTAAAATTGGTCTATAATTTTCTTTTCTTAATGCTGTCTTGACCTTGTTTTGGTATTAAGATTACACCAGCCTCTTAAAATAAGTTAGGCAATTTCCCCTCTTTTGATTTCTAGAACAACTTGTTCAAAATGAGAAAATTTGATGGAACTTACATTTAGTACTTTCTGGGCCTTTGGGTGAAGGTGAGGAGTGTTGATTTTCATTACACTGGCTTTAATGGTGATGTATTTAGGTTTTCTCTCTCTCTTTTTTTTGTACTTATTTTGCTCTTTTATATATTTTACAGAAGTGTATCCATTCCAGGTAGGCCATTGGTTCTTTAATAGGGGACAGTGCTGGGTCTTCCTCTTTCCCCACCTCCCCAGGAGAGCTTGGAAATGAGGCAGGGCATTTTTTGGTTGGCCAGTGATGCTAAACGTTTGGCAATGCATGATTCAGTCCTGTGCAGTAAGAATTAATTGGCCTGTCCTGAATGCCAGCAGTACGTATGCCTGCTGAACACTCATCAGAGTTTTCAAGTGTACTACTATGTAGTTATAATATTCTTTTGTACTTTAAAGTCTCTGTTACATTGGTAATTATTTTGCCTCTTTCACATTTGTTATTTGCATTTTTTCCATAGTATGATCCTAAAATCTTCATAAAAAAGTCATTTTGTAATTTTTGTTAATCTTTTCTTTTGTTTGCTTGGTTCTCTATTTCATTAGTTTCTGCCATTATTTCCTTTGTTTTATTGAGTTAATAACTCTGTTCTTTGTCCAGCTTTTTGTATTGAACACTTAGCTTTTTTTCCCTAGTTTTTCTTTTCTTTTTAAATACATTTCTCTTCGTTGTTTCCCACAAATTTTGACATATCTGAATGTCAGAATGTTATTGATGATGTAAGTTTTCCATAAGTTTCTCTTTGGTTTCCTCTTTACCAAAGGTTATTTAATAGAATGATTTTTAGTTTCCACATAGTGAGATTTTTTTTTTGAGCTATCCTTTTAAAATTGGTGTTTAATTTCATTGAATTGGTAGGATATTAGTTCTTTGGGATTATTGGGACTTTTTGTGACTTGGTACATGATTGATTTTTGGACAGTTCAGTTATGATTAAAACACATATACTGTCTAAATATGAAATTAAAACAGTTGAATTTATGTTATCCAAATCTTCTGTATCTTTGCTTGCTTTTGTATGTTTATATGTTTCTGAGAGGGGTATGTGAAATTGTTGGTTTGTTTGCTTCTTCATGGCTGTTGGGTCAGTTGTCACTTTTGTAGTTTGAAGCTCTGTTTTTGAAATATGTTTGGTTATTTCATGGTTGGGGTTTTTTTTTTCAGTTTTCAGTTTTATTAGGTAGAATTGTTACAATTTGCGCATATACAGTGTATTGCATATAAATGCATATACACAATATACTGCACATTTAAAAAATTTTACATGTATGTACTGCTCATTGTTTCTAAGAACGTTTAGAGCTTTTTAAACTTACATAGTTAATCAAAGGAATAAAGCCAACCACAAAGTAAGAATTTATTTCATGATTGTTATCTCCTCTTGACCTGTTCTTCCCTTTACCAGTGTGTAATATCCCTCTTTGTCCATTATGTCCAGCCCTTTTTCATCTCAAATTCTGTTCTACCTGCTACTACAATTTCTGCTGTGTCATCTTTTGTATTTGTATCCTAGCATGTCTTACAGTTCTCTTTTGCCTCATTTGACGTTTTCTGCTTATTGGACATATTAGGTTAAACTTTAGCTGTGGGTGACAGAGAACTCCAAATAGCAATGGTTTAAGAAGGAAGTTTTATTCTTAGAGGAAAAGACTAAGCAGTCCAGGGCTGGTGTGGTACTACTTCTGTTCTAAGAGTCCTCAGGGACCCAGCATTTCTACTGTTTTTTTTTGTTTGTTTGTTTTTTTAGGGGGGAGTAATGGTTCTATTCGTTTTACTTTATTTCTATTGTGGTAAAATACACGTGACAGTTAACTTTATCATGTTAGCCATTTTTAAGTGTACAGGTCCGTAGTGTTGAGTACATTCACCTTGTTGTGTGATCCATCTCCAGAACTCTTCATCCTGCAAAGATAAAACTCTGTACCTGTTAAACAATTCTCCACACCTCTGCTCCGTGTTTGACCTGGTATTCCAGCTATCATTCGTCATACTCAAGTGTGAAATTCTAGGTTCAAAATGATTTTCGTTCAACATTTTGAATTAGTTAATTGTGCTTCTGGTTTGCCGTTGAGAAATCTGATGTCTGTCTAATTCTTCATTCTTTGTCGGTGCTTCTCTTACACTCCTGGAAACTTAGAATTTCTTCTCTTTGATCTCCTGGAACTTTTCTAAGAATATCCTGTAATGTTCACATCTAGCTTCATTTCTTAACTGTTTGTTTTATCTCTTTATTTTTTCTTCATATATTCTGACTTCTCAGCCTAGTTTTTAGTCATTAATTTTTTTCTTCAGCTGTTACTTGTTTCTGCTAATAAACTCATTCACTTAATTTTCATTTTGAACAATTTTACTACTCATACCAAATTTCCTCAGTTGGTGGTTGTTTAAAACAACTTTCTAGTTTCTATCTTTCTGAGGAGATTTACTATGTTTTAAATTTTTTTGTCCTATTGGTCTGCTTCTTCTGGTTTAGCTTGTTCTGTTTGTTGCCTTTCATGGTGCTTGTTTACCTCCAGTGTCTTAATTAGTTTTTTTCTGCATATTCATCTTTTATTTCTTTTGACTCTGAGCTGCTTTGGCTAGAAATGTGTAAACGAAGGGAGGACGTAGCCTAAACTCTGTGTTCCCTCCTCTAAATGAATTTAGGGGATTGGGTTAGCCTCCAGGTTCAGCCCTTCCCACCCACTCCCATCTTCCCTTGACTCCCAGGGAACTCCCTAGTACCAGTCTTCTGCTTGCTGCCTTTATCTGGAAGCAGCCATCCTCGCCAAGCCCAAGGAGCTGGTGGGTGAAAGTTAGGGGGACTCTGGAGTCACCTTTTATTTTTCCTCTAACCCTGGTTCTGGTGATGCCATTACCCATAAGGGCCAAAGATCAGGCTGCTAGATCTCTTGGATGTGTGCATATGAGGGGGAAGGACACTGCTAACCCCCTACCCCACCCGTTTCTCACGTATAAGCCATTGGCCCTTTCCTATTTCAAGTTCTCCCTGTTCAGGACTCCTCTCTGGAGGGCTTCTCACAGTGTTTGTGTTGGTTTCTGAGCTGGACCCTGAGGGCCATCAGTTTATCTATGTTCCAGTGGTCCATGGTAATGTGCCATCTTCTAAGGTATTAGCGTAGACCTGTTAGGTTAGGAAAAAGTGAAAAATAGTGATCAAATTGGTAAAGAAAAACATGTGAAGGATACCAGGGAGTGGGACACTGCTGATGGGAGAGGAAATTGGCACAAACTTTTATACATACTTAAAAGCTTAATTAACTAGATGGTGGGAACCCTTTCACAATGTATACCTATATCAGATCACCACAGTGTACAGTTTAAATATCTTATAATTTTATTTGTCAATTATACCTCAGTAAAGTTGAGATCGGAGATGCTTTCACAATGTTTATGCCTTTGATCTAGAAGTTTACTCTCTAGGAATTTATCCTCAGGAGATAACCATGATGCCTACACAGTACATCTTCAGTGTTGAGCATTACAGTACTGTTGGCAGTATTTTTAAGTTGCAAGCAAAATAAAGATCTTATTGTAGAGCATTCGTTAAGTTATCATGCACCCATATGTTATGAAGCTTTGTAACCATTTTAAAAGGTAGGGTAGATTACTCAATGGCATAGGAAAATGTTTTTAATATGGTGAATGACGGAGGGGAAGCAAATTATAATACTGAATCATGATCCATTTTCATACAGATATAAGTATAGGTTGTCTCTGGTTGTACAGGTGACTTTCATTTCTTTCTGTGCATTTTCAGAATTTCCTATAGTGAATGCATATTATATAGGGGCACAGAATCATTGAAATAAAGATAAATGAGAGATCAGAAAAAAAAATAACGATAAATTCAAAGGTTGGCATGAGTGTTGTGATGCTTATACACCAAATATATTGCCACCCACCTTGTAGAGAGTGGTGGGAGACAGTGTATTTCAAGAAAAATTGTATATTTATGCTTTCTGATCTAGAAAGAGTATTTTTTGAGGATTTATCCAAATAAAGATAATCCAGGAAAAAGTGAAAGTTGAGCATAGTAGCAATAAATAAACATAATCCTAAATAAGGTATAGCTGAATGTCCACTAGTTAAGTAGTGATTAAGTGGTTGTGGTACACAGGATGTTATGCAGCTAGCAAAAATCATGTTCATATAGCCTGTATAGTAAAACGATAAAGTGTAATTACATTAAAATTTTGCCTGAATATGAAAAAATGAAGGGAAGGACACATATAAATGTGTACAGTTGATTTACTTGCGAGATAGTTTTGAGAGTATTAACAAGAACTAAGTTGTATTACTAGAACAATGTATGTACGATAAATAGACATGTATAAAAAGTATGGATTAGTAAATTTGAGATTATCCAGATTTGAACTTTGGCTGTTGGGATGCTCTTATTTGCAAATGCTTGAATTGACTATTTCCCTTCCTGTGGGCTTGTTTGTCGCAAGCTAGTGCTTACCTTCTCGCTGCGGTTCCCCCACACGTGTAGCTGCGTCCTGCTTGAAGGAGAGAATGTAACAGGCAGAGGTGGACATCAGGTGATCGTTTTGAATGGATGGGGTTGATTGGTCAGGAACAGAGACAGCAGGGGCCCTTGTCCTGTCCCTGCTTGCAGTACATGTCAAGTGACTCCTTCCTTTGTCCAGCTAGGGATCCTTTCTTTCACTTTTATTTTCCTGCTGTGCTACTAAAACAGGACTCTCTCAAATGAGTATTTTGTGTTTCTCACCCATCCACACAGGGAAGAATTGGATAGAGCGTTCTGATCAGGGCAGAAGAGCACTGCAGGGAGCTCTAGGGGAACCATATGTTCCGCCTCCCACCTGTGATTCATGATGTTAGCGCTGGAAGGGTCCGTTTTACTGATAGAGACACCGAGGCTTGGGGCCACCTTGTCCAGGATTCCACTGTTCTTTGGGTCCTGGGTTCTGAAACTGCTGTCGCTCCTCCTGTTCCTAATCCAGATCTCTGAGGTGTCTCAGTACCTTCTCTGTCTCTGTGAGTCTTGGCTCTGTCATATTCCTCTTTTTTTCCTTTTCTAGAAAGAAAAGTCAAAATCGAACAGTTCAGCAGCCCGGGAACCTAATGGCTTTCCCTCTGATGCCTCAGCCAATTCCTCTCTCCTTCTTGAATTCCAGGGTGAGTTGCATCCATATGTCTTCCTTGCAGGAAAATGAAAACTTGGATGACCCACTAATAAGAAGAAGAATAGTCTGTGTGTCATTTCAGTGCCTACTGTTTTTCTGGTATCTTGCTAGGCACTTTGCATAAGTCTTTTCATTTGAACCTCACAATAACCCTGCAAGATAGACAATAGTATCCTCATTTTCCAGTTAAGGAAACAGGCTCAGAGAGGTGAAGTCATGTATCTAAAGTCACATCACTCCTAAGTGACAGACCCTGTGTTAGGTCCTGGTTTTCTGAGTCAAAAGCTCTTTTCTTCAGACTGTGTGTTTTATGAGACTGTCTGGGAGGAGGCCACCCACAGCCAGGTTGTCTGCCTGTCCACTGTTAGTGCAAGTTCTGCTCCCTATACCAGTCCTCAGGAAACATCCCGCCTGAGTCAGCACTGCAGTCATAATGGCAGTGGCATTACTGCCACTGTGTGACAGTTACTGTTTATGAAGCACTTTCTCTTCAGTTTCTCGTATTTATCCTTGCATCAGCCTGTGGTAGAAACCAGGCAGTTAGCATCGGCCCTGTTTAAGGAAACTGATATTTGGAGAAGAAAAGTGTTTGTCTAAGTTCACAAGTGACAGAGCTTTATTCTTTTTATAATAAAATGCTGCTCCCATTTTAGTGTAGAAGGTAGCCGTCTCTGTGGGATAAAGGTTGGAAAGGGCTTATGATTTTCTCTTTGGAACTAGACTGGGAGCGTGCAGGTCTCCCTTCCTCACCTCTTCCCCAGCCCCCGCAAGGTCAGCGTGATACAGGAAGAGAATACAACGGGAAAGATCTCTGGCTCTGTGCGAGGTGTTCAGTCATCATAAAGCTCTGGGAGACAGAGGAGGTTGCGTTTCCTCAGTTTGGCCACCATCTCATCCTTTTCATTCAGTGAACATTTAATGAGCTCCAACTTTGTGCCAGGTACTGTGTACTGCGCTGGAGATTGAAGGACCGGTAAGCCACAAAGCCTGCCTGCACAGAGTGTAATGGAAGGAGACTGGTGTGTTAAGTAGTAAATGCAGGTGTGCGCAGGGTACAGCAGGAGCGTAAAAAAGAGGGTGGTCATTTCCACCCAGAGTAGGCTGGGGCACGGCTCTGGGAAGGAAGTTACGCCTGAGCTGAACGTTGGCATGTACAGGGGCTCTCCGGGAAGATGGAAAGAGCACGTCATACCAGACACCAGCACACAAAGCCGCTCTTAGGTTCGGGTCCAGCTTGGCCGGAGCCGCAGGTGTGTATGGAATAGCAGCAGGCAGTAAACCTGGAGTTTTTAGGTTGTGATAGGTGTGTCATCTCGTGCCTGCTCAGAGAAACATTGGAGTTTGAAATTTATCTTTTGGGCAGCAGGGATAGTGTTGAAGGGTTTAGAAAGATCACTCTGGCAGTGATGTGAGGTGCAGTGGGAAGACATGAGACCGGAGGAAGGGCAGTGAGGTGGCTGTTGCAGGAGGCCAGGCCTGAGATAATGAGGCCTGAACTATGGCTGTAGGAGAAGGAATGAACACGCACAGGTAATACCAGAGCAGTAAGACAGATCAGATTTGGTGACTGGCTGCGGGAGGTGAGGGAGAGAGGAAGAAATTGTTGACTCCTATGTTTTGAACTTGGGTGGTGACTTTAAGCCTTCAGACAGCACTTCCCAGGTGGGATCCCTTGATCCTTGAGGCAGTCAGGTGGAGCCTGGGCAGCCGAGAGGGCCTGAGCTGACCATCTCTAGACACTATCACCTTCCTTCAGACAGCCGAGGATGGCAGACAGATCTGATCACCTCTTTTCTGCACCTCTTGTGTTACGAGAAAGGTTGAGAGGCATAACTACGTCCCATCCTTCCTTGGACACTGAGAAAATACCAGGTCCCAGCTATAATTGATGGGTAATAAAGAAGTGATTAATAAGCATATCTTGACCTTCCTGAGATATAAATGGACTGCACCTGGTGCTTAAAATATATGCTGTAACATAGAAAATGGTTAAATTAATCGGCTTAGACTCTGTTGATAATTTGCAGTGCACAGAGGCCCTATGAGTGTCTGCCTTTGGTTCAGGGGCCATTTGCAGCCATGACCAATGTGAACCCGACTGTGTCCACACTGCCTGTGGAGACATCAGGCCTTTGGCTCTGTACTGAATTAGTGTTGAAGAGTACCACCCTCAGCTGTTGGCCTTTGTCATGTTTGGTTTTCAGATGAAAACAGCAACCAGAGTTCTGTGTCTGATGTCTATCAACTTAAGGTGGACAGCAGTACCAACTCGAGCCCCAGCCCCCAGCAGAGCGAGTCCCTGAGCCCAGCGCACACCTCTGACTTCCGCACAGATGACTCCCAGCCTCCCACTCTGGGCCAGGAGATCCTTGAGGGTGAGTCTCCGTTGACCCAAGGTGAGCACCTTGGAGGGGCATTGCCTCTTGCTCTTGGTGTTTCTCTTCTTTCGAGTAACAGGTTGGAGAAGCTGCCTCAGAGCCAGGCAGCTTTAAGCCATTTGTTAATCGTTGGGCCGTTTGGGGGAATGGTTGTATTTTCCCTTTTCACAGAATGAAGGAAGAAAAAAGCAACACAGCTGAGTGCCAGGCTCTGTGTAAGGCATTTTTCATATTTGATGCCTCGTATATTCTCTCAAAAATCCTATGAAACAGCAGCTGTGACCTCCATTTTACAGACAAGGAAGTAGTCTTTGAAGGGTGAAGTTGCTTGGCCATGATCACACAGTTCGTAACTGGTGGAACCGGATGTTTCCAACTTCATTCCTTCTAACTTTAGAGTTCACGCTCTTTTTGCTATACCCTGTGAATTTCTTCTTACGATCTATAGTGATTCTGCAGCCAGTGTTGCGTCTTCCCCAAGGTGCCTCCACACACCTCCCAGGAAAGCTCTCCCAGCTTGAGGCAGATTCCACAAGAGTCTCTTGCCTTGGGAAGCCCTGCAGTCACGCTGCCCTTGCTTTTGCAGAGCCGTCTCTGCCTGCCTCGGAGGTTGCTGATGAACCTCCCACCCTCACAAAGGAAGAACCAGTTCCACTAGAGACACAGGTAAGGAGGCACTTGGGTTTCCCAATCTCTAAAGAAAAGTAAGGACTCTGTTGATGTGCATTGAATCTGTAGCATCTCGTGTGCTGTAGTGGGGTGGAGAGGCAGCAGGGGAAACTGGGCTTCCAGGTTATAAGGTAGGGGAGGAAGTTTGGTTATCTGTGAGATGGTTGCAGGTGGGCTTCTGGGCTGTAACTAGGGCGGTTGGGGAAGTCTGGTTCAGAGGGATGGTCCTGTAATTCATGCTCTGGCTGCTTCTAGGTTGCTGAGGAAGAGGAAGACTCAGGTGCCCCACCCCTGAAACGCTTCTGTGTGGACCAACCTGCCGTGCCGCAGGCAGCATCAGAAAGCTAGCACCACCCTGGCGCCCTTGGCCTCCTGGCCCCACACCTCTATTTATTGCATTCTGGTTCTGGCTGTGCTGTGTTGCTGGGGTAAGGGCAAGCTCTGGGGTCCAGAGCCTGCACATAGGAGCCTTCTGAGCTGGAAGGCTGACATAGGGCTTGGGGTCGCAGCATCATCTTTCCATTCCTGGCACCTTGTCTGCTTGCTCCTGAGAAGAGGAGCACTCATGTCTTTTTTGCACCCCAAGTAGGCTGGAGCATCAGCCACCCCAAGGTTCATCTGTCACCTCCAGGTAGCAGTCTCTGCTCCAGAGCCTCTGGATGGAGCTGCTGGCGCTTCTGCAAGAGGAAAGAGTTGTGGAAGGCAACCTCTAGAGAAGAGGGTGCCTAGGGCTACTTGAACTTGAATGGAGACTGTAGATTCACGGACTTTCCTATAGGGCGAGGGGCCCTGTAGGCTGCTGTTGGAGAATGCCTGAGTGGACTTTGGAAGGAAAGGGAAGGGCTTTTCTCTGCACGAGGGCAGAAAAGTCCATATAGATTTCTTGCCGTCCTGACGCTTCTGCCCGTTCCTGAGGTTATCCTGCCTCATGGGCTTTCTAGCTGCTGACAGTCCTTTGTCCCCCACCATAACCATGCCCTTCCCCCAACACACACACGCAGCTTTCCTGTTTTCACCTGGACATTTCATTCCAGCATCCCTTGCCCCCCACTACGGTCCCCAGCACCCCTGCCACAAACTGCCCCAGCAAGAATTTAAGGTTCTGACAACAGTACCCATCCCCACTGTACTCCTTCAGCTCAGACTTTCTAGAAAAGTTCCCTTTTCTTTGAAATCTGCATGTTTTGTTGAACTTTGTGATTTTATTTTTTGTTTCAAAAAAGTTTAAGAAAATGGGCAACAGTGAGTGAAGACATATTTTAGCACTGAATAGAATATTTTTAAAATTAAACTATTTGAAATATGTCTTGTTGGTATCTGAGTGCTTCATTCTTGAATGTTGTGGGGACAGGGGCCGGGGGTGGTGGTGGCTGAGTGCTTGTGTAGACACCCTGGGCTGGGTCCTGCCCATTGTCTCAACTTTCACAGCGTGACTGTCTGATGAAAATGATTTGAAGGCTCTCTGAAGTTGTCGTGTAGTTCAAATTATACTTCTGTCCCTGTGGACACTGCAGGCAGTGGCCGTGCTTCCGACAGCTTCAGGTCCTTAAGAGGCTGAGTTCTTTTGTTCTTTTTTTTTTACTTTTTAAAAATTACAATAAAATACATATACCCTAAAATTTACCATTTTAGCCATTTTTAAGTGGCATTAAGTACATTCACGGTATTGTGCAGTCACCACAACTATCTAGGTCCAAGCGTTTTCATTACCTTATATCCCTTAAGCAGTCGCTCCCCATTTGTACACCAACCCCAGGGTCCTGGCTATCACAAGTCTGCTTTCTGTCCATGAGTTCTTTTTTGCTCCTGATTCCAAAGGAAAACAATAGAGTCATGGTTGAAAAGAATTCTACCTCCTGTATAGTAAAGAATTTCATTTCTGTATTTCCTAAACAATTCCTCACAGTTCTCTTGGGGGCTCCAGGTATCATGGGTGAGACTAGAATCCCAGTCCATTCTGCTGCCCTGTTTTGTTATCTCTAGTTTGTTTTTTCTTAATAATTTAACATAGTAGCGACTAAAATATTGTCAAGTTAAATGTCACCGATACTAGAATTGCCTGTGGTACATAAAGCAAGTATGTCTTTATGTGTTTAAACAAAGGAAGTTTTTCCTTTTGAGGGGCAGGTAATTTGGTGTATTTATTTATTTATTTTAATGAAAGTGCTGGGGATTGAACCCAGGACCTCATGCATGCTAAGCATTCACTCCACCACTGAGCTATACCTTCCCCCTGATAATGTACTTTATAGTAGTTCCCCTCCCATCCCAGTTCTAGGATCTAAGCTTGGGTCACACATTGCATTTAATTCTTGTGTCTCTTTAATCTCATTTTATTTTATTTTTATTTTTAATTGAAGTATAGTCAGTTACAATGTGTCAATTTCTGATGTACAGCACAATGTCCCAGTCATGCAGATACATACATATATACATTTTCATATTTTTTATTAAAGGTTACTATAAGATTGAGATAGGTCCCTGTGCTATACAGAAGAAACTTGGTTTTTTTTTAAATCTATTTTTATATATAGTAGCTAACATTTGCAAATCTGGAACTCCCAAATTTATTCCCTTTCCTTGGTAACCATAAGATTGTTTACTATGTCTGCAAGTCTGTTTTTGTTTTGTAGATGAGTTCATAGTGTCCGTTTTTTTTCTTTTTGTTTTAGATTCCACATATGAGTGATACCATATGGTATTTTTCTTTCTCTTTCTGGCTTACTTAGAATCTTAACAGTCTCTAGGTCCATCCATGTTGCTGCAAATGGCATTATTTTATTCTTTTTTATGGCCAAGTAGTAGTCCATTGTATAAATATACCACAAATTCTTTATCCAGTCATCTGTTGATGGACCTTTAGGTTGCTTCCACAATGGCTATTGTATATTGTGTTGCTATTAGTCTCCTTTTAGAACTAATTTTTGGAAGGTGGGTTGATAGGATCTTTCATGTCATTGATATTTCTGAAGGATCCAGGCAATTATTTATAGAATGTTCCACAATCTGAATTTGTCTATTTTCTTTCCTTCTTTCCTTTTTTTCCTTACCCTCCCTCCCTCCCTTCCTCCCTTCCTTCCTTTCTTCCTTCCATCCTCTTTCCTTCCTTCCATTTGTTGTTGTTCTTTTTGTTAGATTTGTTTATTTTCTTTTAAGGGTTTCAAGTTAACATTTTTGGTTAGACTACTACAGAGGAGATATGTACTTCTCAGTTGCCCGACGTCACAAAGCACATGTGGTCAGCTTGTCCTATTATCAGTTCTGCCAAGTTTGATCACTTGGCTAGAGATGGTGTCTGCCAGACTCTTCCACCTTTAGGTTTGCATAAGTCATCTGTGGGGCAGTGATGATTTTTTTGTTTGTTTCTATTTTTTTTGCTTTTTGTGGGGGGTGGTGATTTTAAACTGTTCCCCAAAAGTGTTTTGCTCAGTGATTTTCACATCCATTGATAATCTATTTCTGAATCAATTATAAAGCTCATTCTTCCTCTATTCATTCACTGGCAGCCTTCTGTAAATAACAGATCTCCCTTCTCTCTCCACTTCAGCTTCTTTTTTTCCTCTGAAGAAACTACAGGCTCATGGATTCTCTTTATATTCAGGGTGTTATCATTCAATAGTGTTATTTATTTCTGTTTTTAATGTTCAAATTGTCCCAGATTCAGCTAGGGGGAATCCCTTCATGCTGGCTCATGGTCCTTTTGACATGTCCCCAGTATTATCTGGGCAACTCCTTAGTTTCAGGCACAAGCTGTTCCTGACTCACCTTGAACTTCACCAGCCCCAGTCACTTTTCCAAAGAGCCCTGGATCCTTTTAGTGGGGAATGGGATTTAGAAACCTAGATAAATCTAGTTTTACCAAAGAGGAAGGAATTTGAGGGAAGTAGTAGAAGGATGGAAGGATAGATTGTGGAGGGCTTTGAAGGTCAGGCCAAAGTGTTTGGTTTTACTCGGCTTTAGGGAGCCAACCATTGGAAGCCAAGAACAAGGGAGTGACATAGTGAGCAAGAGGCCACGAGGAGGGAAGAGAGGGAGGCAGGGGGCAAACTGGAAGGACATTGCCCACCTTATCGAGGTATGTCTGGAATTACTGAGAGGAGACATAGTTCTGTGAGTTTGAGGATAGAGCAGTGACAGGTACATAGAAAAAAAGGAAAAATACACTAAAGCAATGAGAAACAAAAAGGAATTGTGGTCAATTCACCATGTGGATCACTTGTGAATAATACATAATAAATTATACACTGAATATTGATTTAAATGATGGCAGTATATATATGCTTGTACATATGTGTGGTTTTTGTGGGGCATGTAAGAGGGCTAAATCCTCATCTTCCACTGACGAAAGTCAACAGCTAACACTGAAACTGAAAAACTGAAAAATAGAAATGTATATGTTACTTAGAAATAGGTAGGTAAATACCAGAGGAAACAGCTTAAATTGAAAATGGATGCCTGGTGTAGGCAGGAAGTGGATGGGGGAGTGTGCCAAAGGACTGCTTTTTGTAGAGCTATTTTTTAAAACTATGTTTATATGATTCCTCGTTGGAACTATGTTCATTTTACCATGAAAAATACATTTTAATGTTTAAACCGTTTTAAAAGAAGAAAGTCATTATTGTAGTAGTTTTGACTAGAAATAAGAAATAAATAATAATAAAAGCCTGAAGTAGGATGCTGTGGGGATGGCAGGAAGGAGACAGTTCAAGATTTTAGGCAGGCAGAACTGATGTCATCTGGTTGAGCCTATGGCTGTGGAGCTCAAGAGAGGTCAAGGCTGAGCCTGTGAAGTTGTGAGGGAGGTGGGCCATTAATAGAAAAAAATACCCCGACAGAGCAGATGATGGAGCGAAGAGAGATAACAGATTGTGGATGTGGGATGTTTTGAGGTTGAGGGACCAACAGGGTAGGCAGGAAAAGAGCAGCCAGAAGTGGAAATGACCTAAGCAAGGGTTTAGGTCTGCATCAGGGAGAGATGGGTGCATGGCAGGGCACAGTTCCACACGACACAGACCACAGAAACAGGCCCTGCTGACTGAGCTCACGTCATCAAATGACCCAGTGGGGATGTGTGTAGGGAGATGTGCTTCTCTAGAGGGTGTCATTCCTGCAGCAAAGCAGCCACAGCTGAGTTTGAGCAGCAGACGCTCTGGTACAGATCCTTGGTCAGTACACATTTTATCTGCCTTTTATTATTGATTTGTTTGTTCAAATGTTGGGAAAGAAAACACAATGAGCAACGAATTTTACTAGTGAAAACGGATGTAGACTGGAACAATTGGGAAAAGGCATTAGGAAGAGAGTGTGGGATTCAGATGCACAGAGAAGGAAGAACATGTCTGCCAGTGGGTAGGAATAAGCATAGTGAATTCTGGGAATCAGGAAGAAGTGGACCCCTTGGGGTTTGCTGGGAGTTAGGAGCTTGAAGACTAGACAGGAAGAGTAAATTCAGAAGGGTTTTTATCAGCAACAGGAGTCAAAGTATCAGAGCAGGAAACTGACAGACTCTCCTCCCTCCATTTTTTTTGACATGTTCAGAAAATAGTGTTAAAAATCTTGTGTTAATTAGCGCCATTGTTCATAAATTGGAGCCACAGAAATGGAGGATAACCACCAAGCAATAGTCGCATTAAAGTTTATTATTTTTTCTATTGTAAAATGAATATATAATCACTACAGAAAAACAAACTGAAAAATATACAGAAATATAATTAACAAAATAAAACCAACCATAATTCCACCCTTCCAAGGTAAGCACCATTCTTTATTTGGAGAGACCCTTATCAGCTCCTTATGGTGGGACTCCAGCTGTTGGGCTGCATTCACAAAGCTCCACCTCTAGCTTCCATTTCCTTCTGCAGGATTTCCAACTGTGTTCTGGATGGCTCTCCAGGGTACTTCTGGTTCTTACAGCAGAAACTGAATCCATCCAGCTGAGTCTACTAAGGCTGGATTCCAGTCCACAGCTGCCCCATGCACTGACATGATTATGGTGCCCATGGTCATGTGCAATTAGATGCTTTTTTGGAAATAACAAAAATTTCCAAAAATGTGTTTCTTGATGTTTCTGGAGTTCTTATTCCACGTATAGTATGCAGTTGGGTATCTCAGCCTGCAAATGTTAGTCCCATCAGTCACCTAGTCTGTGCCTCTCAAATCTGGCCACCTGTCTCCACTGACCTTATTAAACATTTGAGGCCCTTGCCTTCACTGCCACAGACTACTGCAGTTTTCTTTCTTTATTTCTTATTTCTTCATGTTAAAATATTTTATTTATTATTTGGTGGGGGGAGGAGGTAATTGGG